TGGAACCCTATTTATTATTTAACTGGTAGTGCATAAGAATTGAAATGGTGAATAGTTGTATTATTGTTGTGAGATGATCATTTTCTTCAAAATAATAAAATACGAGAAACTTAGGGCAATGAATTTTAGAAACTTCTTTAAAAATATTGTGGCCTATTTATATATTTTAAAACATAGTTCTGATCTAAATAATCTGTATAATGAGGCTTAGTATTTAACAAGTCAGAATTATACCAAAAATGGTGGCTGGTTTTGATTTTATTTTTCTTGATGAATTAGAAATACATCCACAAATATAATTTGCAAATAAAAGTTGAAATCCAAAATCTGTAAGTTTTTCCTTCCTAAATCAAATAATGCCATTCCTATCTCACTGTATTTTAATTAGCAGAGGTTTTGGAAGTGGCATGGTACGTGCTCATACGATGACTCAAAATGTAACTTGGCCTGCAGTTTTCTTTCGGGGAACAGAACACTCTAATTCAAATCCATTATTAAAAAGCAGATAACATGTGCACTTTCTGAAATGTCTGTGACTTCACTCTTTTGATTTTATGTAATTATAAGGGAATGTTCATATGTATTTACTTTTCGATTGGCACAGCATTTTAAAACTGAGTGTCTTCAGATAAAGTGCGTATTTTCTCTTGGTTCCTAAAGAACATCACTGGTTTATGTGCTTAAAACTTCAGTGAATGTTTTATAATGCAGGCGCAGCACAGTTTATAGCTGTGCTTGAGATAAGAATGTCTATGCAAGACTCGATGTATATAGAGAAAAATATATATTAGATATTAGTTTGGGTTTTGAGATTAATAATTGGTAACTAGATCTTGTGCCACTTCACTGTGTTATCTTGTAACTTCTATCAGTTCTCAAGCAAAACTTTGAACTCAGTATTTTTCCAAACTTTGCAGCTTGAAGTAAATACTTTTCATTTAAACTAATTTCAGTCAACATAATAAAATAGGGAAAACATCACCCACTTAAAAACAGCTTAAATTGCATGTGTTTTGTCACTATAAACAAACAAGGTAAACATTGACATAACTTCAGATTATTGTTGGGTTTAAAAAAATCTGTAGTTCAAAATAAAATTCTGCCTTTGGTCAACATTTTGGATGCAATTCAAAGTTTCTCATAAAATAAACATATTTTAAAGAGTGCTTTGAATTTCACTATGTAATTTCTAGCCAACAGAAATTACAGTGGTCTCTTTAAGGTTTATTATATGTCAGATCAATAGCCATTATGCAGGGCTAACAACCCTCGAGATGCAATACCTTCCCTCTCGTTAACTCTTACTACTATGACAAGAAAAAAAAAAAAAAAAAGCAAAAAAAAACAAAAAAAACAAAAAACTTCTTATAGGTATCCCTTGAGGAAATCCTCTCAGAAAGTGAAACTTTCTTCTTTATTTCTTGTTCACTAATAAAAGTATTCTTTTCTGATAAACTGGGAAATGAGCCGAATTTTTGGCCAAGAAAGCAAAAGTGTTCATTAAGGTAATCTTCATGAGAATTTTTTAGTAAAAGGGGGGATAGTTTTGCATTCTGCAAAATAACAAATTATTTTGAAGCATGAGCTTAAAATGAAAATGCCCCATCACAACAGATTGTAAATTTTTTTTCTGATGCTTTTAAAAGTGCCTCGATCATTTCTGCGACTATAATGTTAAAGTTAAGTATTTGCTATTTTATTTAAACATTTTTGAAAAATGAACATTCTGGAGCTTTGCAGCATTATTAAGAAAAGCTGTCCATACTTTACCATGTTGTTACATGTGTTTATCTGCTGATTATAAAATGTGTTAAACAGTATTTTAAAAACAACAAAAAAAAATGCAGAGCTGCGCTTTGATTAATTCAGTGAACAAAACATATGCTGTTGGTTCTGTTCAATGAAATTCATATATATGATCAATAAAATCTTTTAAAAGAGCAACTTTGGCTTTAAGGCTTGTACTGCCGACCATGTTTCTCGTCCCAGCTAACTCAGGGCTCACACTGTTAACTTAGGCAAACAAAACCACTTTCTGGCTATGATAGTAATGTCTTTTTAATATTTTTTTTTTATCCCCGTTCTAAAATTCCTTTAGGTTGGAAGCTGTGTATTGTGGCTGTTACCCACTCTGTCCCAAAGATTTGGTTTATCCCGAAATATTTCCAGGTAGCTGCTTTACTGTACTTTCACCTTTGTGGAGATTTAATACATGATTCATGCTAAATTAGAAAGTTTGAAAATAAACTTAGGCAGGAGCAATTGTTTATTTGGCAAGTCAACATGTTAGTGTTAAGGCAAATTTTATGTGTTTTAATACATTAGAGTAAGCTTATATTTACCATCTGTTCTTTTAAGATAACAAAAAAGCAAGTTTTCAAATAGCATTCTTCATTGTTAGCATACACATCCCATAATGATGGATTTTTATAAGCAGGTCAGTGTTGCTGCAATTGCTTACAGATTTTTTTTAATGATATACACAGAGAAAAATCAAGGACTGGAAGTCACACCAAATTATTTAAACAATTGACTAGTTAATAATATGCAACTGTTGTTACAGGGTACATACGGCTATAGTACCAGTTCTTTGAAAAAAATTCTCATCACTAAATACATCACATATGCATTGTGTTACATTAGAATAATGTATTTTAATCACCCAAAGGAGATGTCTAAACAGCACAACTACACAGTCTTATTTAGCATTAAACATCCTTGTGAGCTGAGGTAACCTTATAAAATCATGCTTAAATAATGTAAAACACGAGGCAGCACAGAGCAATATGCATTTTTAATTAGTAAAGTGACTAATATCGAGTGTGTGCTTTGAGGTTTTTGTTTCATTAAAAATGTATCTGTTTTTCCTGCAGCTGAATATCTGTATTCTACACCTGAACAGCTTTCAAAAAGGCTCCAGAATTTCTGCAAGAGACCAGATATTGTAAGAAAACATCTTTATAAGGTAGATATTGAGGAGAGATTTACGTGGTATAAATGCCATATTGAAGTACAAAGAAAAATCTTTTAAAAAAAACATTTAATTAACATACTAATGTTTAAAGGAAACATGCTAGGGAGGGATATTAGTTGTTACACTAACAAGGATTAATTAAACTGGATGCCAGTTGTATTAACCTAGGTCTTATGAAATACGTGCACTTAATGCACGGTACATGCTTTTTTTTTTAATTTATTGTTTTCTAAGATGACTGTCCTTTACATTTAGCCCCAAGAGGCTTATAAAAATGAACCTGGATTAATGTAACTCATTAGTTTAAAAGGAAGTAAAGGAAAGATTCCACAATTATACTAATGAGGATAAGCCTTTCTTCCCATCATAATGAAATCTTCAGGCCTCAAAAATTCAGGTGGATGACATTTGTGAAGTTTGGTGTTCATTTTTTGACTACTTTGAAGATGATTTTCAAGAACCAAATGTTTCCCTTGTCCAGTTTAATCAAATGACCTAAAAATCCTTGGTTTGTTCAGAATGAGACTGCCAGTCCCCTCCCTTGAATGGCAAAGGCAAAGGGAGAAATGGTTGAAACAGCATCATCATGAAGTCCCCTCATTCATGATCTTTTTTTCTTGTTTGAATCAAGAATTTTACATTGTTGAAATCACAACACAAAGAGGCCCTGCTTAAAGTCTAAGTAATTGAACTGGGATAAATCTGCTTTACGACTTTGGAAGGTGGCTCTAGGCCATGAGTAATATACCTTTTTATATTCTTTGAATGTAGCATCTTCATTTTACATAAATTCAGTATAGTTTACAATCTAGCAGTTTTATAATCCAGTGTATTTTAATTCTCCTATGTTATGTATAACCTTCCTACATGAAATACAGTTTGCTGCCTTTTTTTCCTCTCCTTTTCCTTTTCGTGGCCTAAAATACATATTTACATAGTGATACATCAAAACAGTACTTTGTTTCTACAGGAAACAGTTAAACTTCAAGAAAAAGGGAGAGAACCAAAAATGCAATTTAACACCCAATTTCAAGCTCATTATCTTTCATTGTCTATTAACTTGGCAATGGTTCAGAAGGTAGCTCATAATAGTTTAAAATGCTGACTGAACAGTTCCAGGCTCCAGTATTGCTCCTTGAGTCAATACGATTGTACCGAATATAGGGGAAGCTTCCCAGACAAAACAGCCTCCCAAGGTCTCCATTCACAACTCCTGATTTTGGAAGTTCAGTTGTGGTCTGCTTTATATAAAATGTTCCTCCAGTTGTTTTCCACATCACTGGCCATCGGAAAGGGCAGACTGTGGAAATTGAAGAAATAGAATCAAAAGTATTTATGCAAATGGATTCCTTTTCTATCTATGACACAGAGATCTTTTCAGTGAGCTCACCATCAACTCGCTAATTTTGTTCTTCCCTCCTGGGGAATTTTGGGTGTAGTTTAGCTTGTTTTTTGTTTTTTGGGTTTTTTTTTTTTTTTCAGTTTTATTGAGATAGAAGCGACAATGCAATGTCAGTTCACAACCTACCGCATAGTGACTTGACCTCCACATCTTGGGGAATGGTCACCCCCATAGGTTTAATTATCATCCATCATCTCATAGAGATACAAAAAAAAAAAAAAAAGAAAATGTTTTTTCCTTGAAGTACTTAGAATGATATTTCCACCATCAAAGCGTATTTAACTTTGCTTCAGTTTTTAACTTTGCTTCAGGTTAGGCCTCATTATCTCTGTTAGACTTTGTGGACAAATTTTTAACCATTTCAGAAGTTACTGCAACAAGTTGCCTTGAGTGACAAAAGAAAACAGACATGTGGTTGAAATATTTTAATACAGCTACTCCGTAACATGGCCATAATTATTTATTTTACAAACAAATACTGGAAAAACACAGAAACAATGTCAGCTTAGTGGTAATGCTGTCACTCATTCCAGATTGTTCCTCGTCCAGCTTAAAGATCACTTATGCCTTGAATCTTATTTCCTATTACTGCTTTTTACATATGTTTTTGGTCTGTACATCCTAAAGTGCTCCATCTCAGAGTTTTATAAATTAAAACTTTATACATCAGCATTTATAAGAATTCATATGTATGATTCTTTTTTTATGTCTTTTCTACTGTGGATTTTTTTCTTATAAATCTGTTACACACTTTCAGATGTGTCCTCATGTGTAAATCCTGATATTTTATCTAAAGATTAGTCTTAAAATTAATAAATTAGTCTAAGAATTATAAGTAATCAAGCTTTAGGATGCATTTGTCAGGAGAAACTGATAAAAACCACAAAGAAGGACCACAGATTTAGTTTGGTTACTGTAATGGGACTTAGAACCAAAACAGAAAAAGAATGCCTTCTAAAACTTTATAATTAAGAATATAATAAGCTATAGTATTTTTCAACCTTATGTTTTCTAAATATACACATTTTCAGGTAACCATTTGCTTTCACTAAATACAAGAAAATTATTCCCCCCAAGGCAGTATTTTCCTTACTTTTCTTATGCAATGGAAGAGTCTTTTGTGTGTACAGTTAAAGAGAATGTTGGGGTTTTTTTTAGACTTATTCCATTGGACAGTGCTGTTTTGCTTTTATAAAACATATGCTTCTAAGATCTAAAAGGATAGAATGTCACTGAATTCTTTAATTTGCTCCTTTTACATTTTTACACCTTACTCTCTTTTTTTGTCAAAAGTTTACATTTTAAAATCATCTCAACTGCTTTTCACATAGGGTTCACTTTAGGATAGGATTTTTCATATGGATTCACACTTAGAAATTTAATGACTAGAATAAGGCTACTAACACTTGGCTTTCTTCTCACATGAGACATTATACTTTCAATATGAGTGAGAGTTTGGGGGCTATAACTTGAAGCAGGATTTGAAACAGAATGCTAGTAACTGAAAAGCAGAAACAGAATTGGATACTTTTTTTTTTTTTCTTAAAGTGACTTTTTCTACTACAGAACACTGTTGCCGGTGACTTCTCACCTGAAATGGTTTCAGATTTGAAATGTTTAAATTCCTCACATGCATGTTCTCCCTCACTCTTTCCCTCTCTCTTTCAATCTCTCTCTCACACAAACACACAGACATACACAAACTTTTTTTAAGATCTTTCTTAAGAGAAATCCAATGCATGCAGAAATTAAATGTTTCTTAATTATTTTAAGAATCTAAAACCATTTTTCTTAATTAAAAAAAAAAAAAACTAAACATTGCTTTTAAAAGTTTACATCTAAGTTTAGTCATTGACTGAAGCTTTCTTGTACTTTCAGGACACTTCCTTTTCCGAGGAGGTCAGACACATTGGCCACATACTTGTCACACAGATTGAAAATAGGTTTCATTTCATCCACGATAGAGAGCTTTCTGTGACTTCCCAAACATAACTTAAACACACGGTTCTAGAAGTAACCGTAAAATAATTAGCCAAGTATTGACTTCTTACACCCACAATGCTTTTCTCTTTACAACCCAAATAAGTCTAATACCATGAAATTGTATTTTTGCCTCATTTTTACTATGTGAATTTACTTACTGAAAATTCCCAACAACTTTTTTGAGATCAGTGCCTTGTGTTTTTACAGATTTCTCATCATTATATTTTAAAATGCTTTAGAGAAAAAATTATGGACATTTACCTTGTTACCAGATTGAAAAGAGCACAGGGCACAAACAGGGCACTTGTGTAAAGTAAATACCACCCAGAGAAATGGGATAGATCTTCATTCCCATCCTATTTCTCATTTCCTTTTCTTTACAAATTGTGTGATATTTTGTGTGCAAAAAGAGATGCATTCTCTCTTGTACTTTCTGAGAGTGACCTGTAATTTCTTGAGATTTTTCAGCTGATAGCTGCTGATTTTTATTCTGTTCTCCTCTTCAAGCTCTGCAACATTCTAGAAACTTCTATAACCTGGTCTTAATTGGAGGAGAGAAGAATTTTCAGATTTCTGCCTCAAAATGATTCCAAACAATGATTAAGCTTACAGTTCAGATTCAGTGCCCAGAAAAGCCATTTGTGGCTGTCTTAATTATATCAGGCTCTATCTCCCTGAACCACAGCCATGCCACTCTAAGTTTCCTTCAAGACACCGGTCACTTTATAGTCCCCTTTTAATTTGAGCTTGTATTCCAGATGTCAGTAAGGTGTTGCTCATTTGTATTAACACTCCTCCAAAATCATGACTCTTTTTCCTTAAAAATGAAAACTTAAAAGCTGGTGACATTTTTAGAACTTCTAAAAATCTCTCAACCGCACCAGCACAATTTCAGGCAACTTCTCAATCTCTCTCTCCCTCCCTCTCTCCCTCCTCCCTGGTCTTCTCCCTCTCTCTGTCTTCACTCCCTCCCTTGATTTTATTTGGCTTGTTTGTCCTTTGATTTGTCTAAACAAAAGCAAAAAACCTTTAGCACAATGGAAAGACTTGGGGTGATCAAGATCACTTAGAGGTTTTGGCGTCTCGTCCTCCTCTGCTACTCATTTGCAGCCTGGCTCTAGGTGAATCTCTCTATATGATTCATCTGTTAACTTGGAGGAATTTTTTTTTCCCCTAAATTCTTAATAGCATTTTCCCCCTGAGGTACTGCTATAATGAAATAATAAATATAAACCTGTTTGTAAACTCGAAGGGCTTTATACATTTCACATAACAGTAATGGCATTTCTCTTGTGCCTTAACCACTTAAAAGTGAAATTCACATCAGCAAATGCATGGGTTAGGAGTGTTGTCTATCTTGTGTTTATAAAAGTTAAAAGTTGGATTATAAACTTTGAATACCCGTCATCCATAACACAAACCAGGAAATATGTGTGCAGCGAAATGCGCCCATTTGCGAAAAATCGGGAGCTTTCCCCTACGGTTGAAAAGACAGTTGCACTTTAAACCAATCAGAAACCGGGATTTCCTGAGTTGATGAAACTCGAGAACCATTTACTTGGTGGCTTTTTGATATCTAATTGACGTAAGTTATGCAAATGTGCAATATGAATTTTGAGCAAACTTTCGTCTTTCGGTTGTTAATGCTTCTTCATTGCTTTCTCTTCTCTTCCTCCCCCTCACAGGGTGAAATGACTCCTTTTTCTTGGGCAGCCCTACATGGTAAATTCAGGTCTCTGCTTACAACAGAACCTAGGGAAGATTTGTGACAGATGGGGCTAAGTCACAAACTTGCAGCCTAAGGCAGAATCTGTAGAACTTTCCAGAGTGTGCCCATATTTACCTGATCAGAGAGAAAAGAAAATCTGCAGAGGAAGCTGAGCCTGGCTGCTTGTCATAGCTGACACAGAGCCATCTGCCACAAACCTGTGGCGGCTTCAGATCTCCCATCCCTGCCACCACCCCAACTCAAATTAAATACAGATTCCTAGAGACGTTATGATGGTTACACATGTCCTCGGCATCACATGGAGGAGACTGTTCAAAAAAAAATATGTGGCCTGTTGTATAACCGCACTCATGTATCCCATATGTGGTGCCACATTGAATTTCCGGTTGAATCTGTTTTTATCCTTTGTACTGGATGACATGGTGCCTGAATTCTTTCTTTTTGCCGACACGATGGCAGCCAAACTGCAGCTTCAAAAGCTCGCGCTTGGCTGTGTTTCTACCTAGGTTGCCAGGTTATCATCGGAGCCTTCTTGTGTCCTCAAAGGGCCACAGGGTCTGAACGGGGGATCAGGATGCTACCAGACTAATTGGGCAGCCATCTCAGAATTGTCTGTGGGCAAAGGGCTGCTTTAGCACTTTTATTTTAGCAAATTAATGACTCTCTGGCACAGGGGTTTTTAAGTGAAGGTATTAATAAGGGGTCTGGCAGGTATTCCCATGATTCACAGAGTTACATTTGCATTCAATTTATTTTAAAGTTGCGAGATAAACAGCTGTAATTTAGACAAACATGGGAAACACACTAAGTGGGGCCATCTTGCCCATAAAATGAACACTGAGATACTTGTTTTAATTTTTTTTTTCCTGGGGTAAAAACAGAGAAATCAAAATACTTCTACTAAAACAGTCATTTTGGTAGAAATATTCCTCAAAAATATTTGCATCCAGCTACAAATAAAATCTTTTCAAGATAAATCGCTTATGATTCCAATAGTCAAGCTGCTGTATTTGTTGATATAAAGATGTTTTGAACGGCTAGATTGTAAAATAAATTTTTAATAAAGTGCCTACTGCAATTTTTAATTAGCATATCTCATTTATGTGTAAAGAGTGTACATCTATCTGTATGTTTCTCGCTGAACACTTTCCTTGTGTCAGAGACAACGAATACAATTGTTTCTTTTCCGGATGTACAGGGATCTGTTTTGCAAATGTTTGTAAGATATTATGACATTTCCAAGATTTTCTTTGCATTCTGGAAAGCAGGAGGTAAACATTTGTAGTCATTAAGGTAAAGTCTGTTGATAAACCATCTTCTGTTTACTGACAGGTAAATTGTAACTTTCCTAGCTTTTGAAAAGAGTAACTTTTATACACTGCAGAGTGAGGATAGCCAGGGAGCAGAGGGTAGACAAGTGCCACGTGTGGCCTTCTGGCTCTAGAACGATTGAGTGGTCTAGCAGGCATCCGAGACAGAGCAGGCGATGATTCAGAAGTCCGGTAGGGCCCATTTGACAGGTAGCAAAATAGTCAGCAGGAAGGAGATCAAGGTCCAGGAGCCAGAGAGAGCCCTCAGGATAGCATCAGTCTTGCAGATCAAAGAAGGCAGGAGGAATTCAGAATCCATCAGGCCTGGGAACGGAAAAGCAGGAAGAGTGAGAAGCAGAAACAGCAAGCCCTATCTTTGCAGATAGTCCTCTCCCTGACCTGTGTGAGATCCTTAACACATGGTGGGACATCACAGCACTGGCTTCAAGTCCTATCCGTTGTGGGGAAGCCACTGAACAAATTACCTCCTCACCCAAAAAAATTACTTTTTTGGGCTCCAGGATTATTTCGGTCTGAGACTGGGGAACTCGGAATCTATCAGGTGTGCTCCTTTTGAGTGTAAAAGTTAAGGTATAAATATGCCTAAGAGGTTCTTAGACACTTTGGGCAGGGTTTATCATCTAATTAGATGAACTAGACCAGTAAATTTGCTTCAGTCAGAAGGATGCCTTGTCACAGTGATGTCTTCTCAAAATAATTAAGTATAATCTCACAGCCAAGAAACAATGGTTTAGTTTACTGTGTTTTACTGTCATGAAAATAATGGGTTCCCATTTTATAGTAGACATAGTTGAAAGTTACCTGTGTCTGGAGGGTTTTTTCCCCCTGTACCCATAAATACAAATCCGCTTTTGTCTTTAGCTGTAACCCAGGATCACTTCTAGAATAAAAATTTACATTAAAGTTATCATTTCTTAAAACAATGCTGTCAGACTTGGTATTAGTGCATATAAACAATAAAAAGTTTTGTAAATGTGTAATTCTTAACATTTGAAAACTTGAAGTGTTTGTGCATCTGTGTGTCCACGTGTGTTGTGTGCTTCTTAGATCCATGATGTGGTGGGATGGAGTATTGCTAAGTTAACCCATATTTCAGGGAGGTCACAGGATAATTGTGAATACAAGTTGATTTCTTAATTCCTATTTCCCTTACTTTGAGTAAAGAGATTGAATGCTCCCATTATTTCTTATTTTGAGTATGTTGTTGGAAATTTCGATCTTTCTTTTTTGAAACATTCAGTTCTCTTCACTCTTTTCAAATAAATCACTAAGCCAATTTCAAGTTTAAATATCTTTCAAAGTCTGCTCATTATCAAGACCTTGGTACAGTGTCCAGGATGCCTGCCATGAACTTACCCAATCTGTGTTTCTGGCTAGGTGTTTCTGTACTAAGCAGCAGAGCACCTAGCTCTTAAGCTATTCATTTATACCATGTTGATAAGGAATAGGTCAAAAGACCTCTCTCAAAAAAGCTTGGGGTTTAATAAGCATCCTTCAGATATGGCTAGGTTTAAGTGCCCTGCTCGGGCTCTCAGATGCTCAGTCATGCCACATAAAGATGGCAGCAGAATCAGTAAGTCGATGAAAACTCACAGCCATAGAGGACTACACAGATTCATTTCAACACCTTGAAATGCATCTGGAAGCAAAGATTTCATTTTATGTTGAAGGTGTTAATTATATTTGATATTTTTAAAAGTAAAATCTGTTTTTGAGAAAGCATCTGCTACCCAGAAATATTATGAGCCACAATAAAATTTTCAGTTAAGTCTCAAGATACTTTCTGTGGATGATAGAATCGGTTTTCAACTGATAGCCCGTGCTGTCTTTTAATGTTGACATATTCCATGAGTTTTATTCTTCTATTGGCTGTTGACAAGTATCACCCTAAGTGCCTTTCTGTTTCAGTGGAAAATTGGGTGGCCTTTAATATAAGATTTTATGTTTAACAATGAAGAGAGTATATTATAAACCACTGACATGTTTCATTTTAAAATGGGAACTGAGATTACAGGACAACTAAAGATTCCATAATGCACTCTCCCTTCAGAGCCATTCACTAAAATGTAACTGGGAAAGTTTAAAAACATTCAAACAATTCTACATGCAGCTCAAAGCTGTGTATATTGTTGATTAAAATATAACAACAACAAAACCACAGGGATTTACACCAAATGTACAATAACTGTTAAGTCAGAGGAGTGATGGTACAAAGCACAGACATGTACAGGGAGAGGCACATTGACTCGGTAGCTAGTGGCTTATTTCTGAAGTTGGGTCATAGTATCCAAAGGCTATTTGTACTTTTTATGACTTTTTGTGTGTGTTGAATGTTCTCACTGGATATGCCTTCTGATGGGAGCTATTAATACTTCAGTTAGTTTTACTACCATGCCTTCCTTAACATTTTTTGACTCTAAACTATTGATCTAGTCAGAAAACCATTTCCCTTCAGACAGTGGAAGAAACTGCCCTAACTGCCAGTTTTGCATGAGAAGACCTTCCTTCCCTTACCAGGAGCCAGGGACTTAACCTTGATTGTGAAACAAATCATACTTTGAAGAAGTCTGACATGATGGTCCATGGGTCCCTTTTTCCTGGGGCTGCTGACTACCATTCCTCACTAATTCCTGTAATGTTACAAACTCAACATGGAAAACCATAGTTCTATAAACCCCCTTTTGAAAGATAATGAGAAGAAGATAAAAGAAGATGTTACATGAGCCAGTCTTCACATCTTGGAAAATTCAGAGGTGTGTGGTAGAGAACAGAGTTATCTGAGCTCCCAACCACACTAGCCATCTCCCACAGTAGTGCCTGTTCCTTTTTCTCTTCAAGACAGGGTCAATTATGGACTCTGTCCTTTCTTGCAATCCATGAGAAGGAGCTCTCCTTCATGCCTTTAGAATTAATTCCCTCACTGCATATGAGGTACATATGGCTTCGGGGACCAGGATCCTCATTCACCCTACAGCCCATTTTCCTACAATGGCATTTGGGGTTAGTTCTTCAGGGATCCTCCCATTCTCATTACCTCCCGTTACCTCATTACCTGTTGCAGTTCTATGGTTATGAGTTTCAACCCTAAGACAGGTTCATAATTATTCTCATAAATTTTACAAGGAACTGTTGATTCGTGGGAGATGATTTAAGATGCTTATGTTACTCTCCTATCAATTACTGCATTTAAATAGCAGACCTAAGGTAGTATGCCAGAAGTGATTTCTGGGAATACTTGTGTGATACCTTTCTCCAGGAATGTGAAGTCCTTTATATTTGAAATTTTAATATTTCCAATATCATTTCACAAATGAGAAAATCAAGGGGTCATAAATAATGGCATATTTAGGAGCCGGACTATGTTGTAGAAACAGAGATTTTTTGTATAAGCCTTCCACCGTATGGGATGGTGTCCTTATCACCTATGTGTCTTTCAGGAAGCACCAGGGTCAGTGTGCATGACAGTTGGACCCCTAGGCAAGAGAGTGCAGAGGGTAGCAGGGGGCTGCTTTGTGGCCCACATGGTTGGTCTTAAAAGAGGCATGAGAGATCATATAGTGAGGCCAATGTTTTCAGCATCTTTATTATTACTATTACTGTGCCTCTGGGGAGGCATTTATCCTCGACATCCATCATAGGCCTGTCTGTCCCTGTGATCTTTACACTCAGATGCATTTATATATTTAAGGTAACTGTCCTGGCCCTCCTGGTAAGCATTTGTTTTTGAAACCTGTGGGGAAACTGAAGCCCTTAGGAGAAGCTGAGTTGCTAAGGGTCCTGAAGTGGTAGAGGCAGGTCTAGAACAACCACGTGCAGGAGGCTGTCTGTGGTCAATCCAGTTGGCCAAGACCATCCCTTAAAGGAGGGGAAAGGGGCAAATCTCCTTCTCCATCTTTTTCCCCTCAATCCTCCTCCCACTTCTCTTACTAGCAGAATGAACATGGATTAATAAGTTGCCAGTACGGTTCTATAGATTTGTTTCATGTTACTTGTGGATGCATTTGAATTCTAAGTGGCCACAAAGGAGGAATGTGCAAGAATTCATTCCTAGTACTAAAATTTCAAACTCTGCAGCACACACGAAACTTCTGGACAGCTGAGCCTTTCTCTATTGCCTTTCACATCATATAACAATGAAGTTACTTATCCACATAGAAGGCTGGCCCTTCATCCAGAGGCAGCCCGCACAATCTCACCTGGTGGCAAAGGCCTAGGACAGAGGGAGCAGGTGGCATGGGTGACTGAAGCACCTTTAATTGTGCAGCAAAGGGAATGCTCCCTCTCATCTCAAACAGATAACCCAGAAATTACATCCTGAATCTTATTTCCCCGGAAAGAAAAGGAAGGGGAGGGATAACTTAAAAAGAAGATACTTCTAATATGGTATTAGACTGTAATTCATAGGGAAATTTATGCCTGAGATATGAATTTCTGAAAATAGGGGTTTTTTTTTAAGGGGAAACACACATCCTTAATTATAGAGTAATAAATACCAATGGTATATTATCTTCTGATATTTCCTTACACAGATATCAAAGCAGGCAGCTGTTTTTGAAAACTGATAATCAAGTACAATATAAGTATATTACATCTTGTACTTACAACACACCCTTCAACTAAGCAACCTCCTGGAGCACTCAACAGTGAGAACCAGAGCTGCTTATAGTAGAAGCCCAACTGAACAAATTAGCCTTGAATTGTAACTTAAGAATCATAGTCAAACCGAAATGCCTGTCCTTGCCAGGAAAGGCATTCCAAAGGCAAAGAGCATGCCAAGTAAAAAGGCTTTGCTTCAGGATTATGGAGGCAGTTCTCAAAAGCCAGCATAACTTAATGATCAATCAGAAAAATATAGAGCAGTAACTACACAACTGAAGGATACATAAAAATTGTACAAAGCATTAATAGTGAATGGGGAGGTAGAATGGGATTTTAACAGAACGTATTACGCTCTCAGAAAGCTTTATTTATTGCTTTCAATCCGGGCAGCAAAAGAAAGACAAACATGGTCAAAGAAAAGTACGTGGACAAATGTGGGGGGTAGGAAAGGAAATGAAGGTTAAACAAGGCCAATATGATTCAGAATGAAAGGGAGGGAGGAAAGTATAAGGAGCCAGCTGCAATTACTAAATGTTACATTAAGAAGAGCTGAAATTGAGAGAGGGAGGTCTGGGTATTTTACTAAGTGGATTAATGTCCTCTTCTTTGGGTGTCTGAAGTTGCAGATTTTAATTTATTTGGTGCAGGGTTTTATTGTGAAATTCCTAATGGGATGGAGGGATAAATAGGGACAATTATAAACAGTCAGAAAGTAGAAAAGGGGAACATAAAATACCTCTTTATAAATTTAACTAAAATAAATACAGGGTTTGAAGCTATGGACAGAGGTAAATAATCAACAAAATACTTAGTTCATTATGATAGAACTTAAAGGAAAATGAGAGGTACATATAAAAAAAAAAAAAAAAAACCCCAAAAAGACAAAAACATCCATAAAGATGCGTCAAGCCAAGGATTTTGAGTGACTTAGGGGCTAGTTTATTGCTGCTCTCCTTTCTCCACCCATTTAAAAAAAATAAATCATAACTCTGGCATTTAGAAAACTAGTCATGAACATCATTTATTAATATAAGCTTAATCCCGTGCTATTCTTCGGTGGGTGGTAAAAACATGAGCTAACAACAACTGGCCTAAAACAGAATGATTCTCTCCAATCCTGGGAAGCTCTAAGGAAAGAGAAACTCCAAATAGGCTCTTTCACCTCCCTTATTTTACTGAAGGAGAAAGTCAAGAAGTGGGGAGGGCAGAGCCAAATCAGAGGACAAGAAGCTTGCAGGAGATTTTTAAAGTTTTCCTAAATAGGTATCAGAAAAAGCGATGGGCTTGGAACCTAGTGTGATTTATATCCATTTATTAATCCGCTAATTACCACTTGTGGGGAAGGTGGGAAATAAGGAAGGCTTTCTGCTTTCTACAACGGAGGAGACCGAGGCAGAGACTTAATCGTGTCATACTGCCTGAGTGTAACAATGCTGTCATGTGGCTGGCCACCGGTCCACAAAGGTTCTGGGTTCAAGAACACATCTGCCCATTTCATTTCATTTCAATTGAAAATATGGATCAGCAGGTATTTAAGAATTACTGACGTGCAGGTATTAATCTTGAATGCAAATGCAGATAGCATTATTGAGTGTGTGGGCAAATCACTGCAACCACATGAAAAGGCACTTTGAAAAAAATTTTATAAAATGCTGTGCGGAAAATGATGGTGAAAAATGCAAATGAAAAATGGGAAAATATCATCTACAAAGAGGAAGATGTGTAAAATGACTAAACAAGGTGGCCTTGTTGCCTTCCACCTGCTGCATCAATTCTATCGGTAAACAGATTACTTGCAAAGAGGCGAAGTCTTCTATTTCTAAAGCTGACCTAGCAACAAGAAGGAGAAAACACAGAAGAGGACATTGCATAGTGGCTCAGGGTGACCCTCAAAGGTCATTTAACTCTAGGGTTAAAAATGAGGGTGCCAAACTAGAGGTTTGTGAACACTTCTCCATCTATGAAGAATTCAGAATATCGTGGAGGTGAAACGCTGTCTTAAATCCCAGGGACAGGGTGTTTTGTGATCACAGTGAAGAGGAAAGTCATCAAAGCACACACCTTTTTCCTTTTTCCTCTTGAGCTGCAGAGCTATGGTGGGGAACTTGTGCTCTCTGGTGCTGGCTGTTATGTTCCCTGGCTTTCAGTCGGCTTGGCTTTTCCCCTGGAGTTCTGATGCTGTGATAACAGGCCAGAAAAGAAAGAAAGAAGGAAGGAAGGAAGGAAGGAAGGAAGGAAGGAAGGAAGGAAGGAAGGGAGGGAGGGAGGGAGGGAGGAAGGAGAGAGAGAGAAATCTACAAAACTGAAAAACAAAATGTGTGTGTGTGTGTGCCCCGCGCGTGTGTCTGTGTGCACGCGCGCGTGCACGGTGAGATTTCACTGAAGATAAAGAATTGCAACACTCTAAGCACCAAATTTTTAAAACTTAAAAAGTATGAGTAATGGAGTTCTGAAGAAGCAAAATGTGCTGGAGCAGAATATTTATAGTCCCTTTTTTGTGAGAGGTTCCCCAGACCGCTGGGTGCATCAGCAAACTGTCCTCCTACTGGAGCGTGCAGCTGCGATTTGGCCCCAGGCACCACCTACCCAGAGTCACTACCTAATGCATTTTACATTTGCACAGATAATAAAAGAGAAAGGGGCAGGGGAAAAAAAAAGAAGAAGTCTGAGAAGGGGCCATTTTCCCCCTCAGCGTTGTGTGTCTCCTTTTGTCGCGGCCGTCAGCTGACATGGAAAATGTGGTGTACGGTTTTGCTTGCCTTTAATCTGTAATTAAGGATTCCTTGTCTGGGGCTTGCTACCTCTCCTCGCCTTCCGTCCCTGCCTCTCGGGTCTTCCGCTCTCGGTCGGGCCTGGCCCCGCGCCGCCGGCGGGGGGCTCGAGGTGGCGCGCCGCGGGCAGTGGGGAGGCGGCGGGACGCGGGGGCCTCGGCTGGGTCCTGCGCTCGCCCGCCGGAGAGCACGCACCCCCGCGCCCCGCCCCGCCCGGTCGCGATCCCCTGGCGAGCCAGCGCCCGGCGTCGGGGCAGCTGTGCCGGGGCTGCCCGGAGCTGGCAAGGACCGCCAGCGGGGCCCCTGGAAACCTCGGCGGGCGCTGCGCCGCCGCCCTCGCCGCTCGTCCTCTCCCCCGCGCTGTGGCGCCTTCGCGACCGGCGAGCCCGAGGTCCGGTGCGCCACGGCCCCCTTGACGCCCTGCTCGGCGCCGTCCGGAGCAGGCGGAGGGAGCCCTCCTCCTCTCCTGGCGGGAGAAAAGGGAACGGGAGAGGGACGGCGGGGTCACAGAGTCCTAGCGGAGCCGAGAGTCGGAGGAGCCCCGAGGCCGAGCTGCGGGGCCGAGCGAGCCCCGGGCAGCGGCCGCGCTCGCGCTCACACTCGCGCCCACGCTAGCGGGACTCGCTCGCCGCCCCGCCTGGCGCGCGCACTGGCACGCACCCACACTGGCACGCACCCCGCCACGCGCGCTCCACACTCACGCGCTGCCACGCACACGCGCCGCGTGGCCCACGGCCGCCCTGGCTCGCGTGCGCAGGGCCGGAATCTTCCCTGTCGGGCCCCCGGGAAGGCGGCGCAGCCCGGGCGGGGCTCAACTCTCCCAGTCGTCTAAGTGTTTTACTGAACTGGGTTCCCGGAGTCCGCAGGTCTGTCAGTGAGACGTTAGGATGAGGATGCACCGAGCAGAAACAAAAGTACTGATTTCTGTGCCCCCTCCCCTTTAAAAAAAAAAAAAAAAAAGATTACCTTAAGCAAAAAAAATAAATAAATAAATAAATAAATAAAATAAAATAACAACAACAACAACAACAAAGGAGGGCATATGGATGGGCGCGGAGACTGGCTATTAACTTCAAAAATACTCTTATTCCTCTCTCATTATCCTGGCATCTGTTTAAATCCCACCCCAAACCCCCAGCGCTAACCTGTGCTTTGGGTTACAAACTTCCTTTCTCCTCTCAACCACCAATGGGTTATTTAGGAGGAGAGGAGAAGAGGGGTTAAGAGGTATTTAGGCAGGAGAATATTTAGAAGCCCCGTGTTGATTTGTCACTCGTTTGGTCAAATTAAGTTCCTCAGAAATTTGAAATTTCCAACGTTTAATATCATTTTGGGGCTTCTAAAATGTTTGAAGAGCCTCCCCTCACTATTATTTTTTAACATTCGATATTTATTTGAGTGTAGACATTTAGAATTACATATGTAAGAGGAAAAAATGCTCCTCTTTCTTGGTTTCACCAAAGCTGTTTGCGTTTCTTTCCATCCAGCTTGTAGCTTATTTCCTCTCTCGTTCCCACCAATAGAGATTGTCTGCCGAAGTGCTGTACGCTGTGACCAAATACAAGAAACCTTCATCCGGAGTGTTCATGACCTTACTTGGCATCTACTTCTCAAGATCCCACCCCCTCTGTTTGAAATATTATTCGAACTGTCGACTTGGAAATATGGGTTGGTTGGTTGGTTGGTTGGTCGTTTAAAATGTGAGAAGAGCAGCGCCCAGGGAAACTGAGGGCGGGGAGGTGGGCCTACAGAACCCTACTGTTGAGAGGCTGAACAAGAACACATGGGAAGTGCATCAAGAAGAGACTGTCAGTAAACAATGATAATCAGGGCTTTGGAAACTCATAAAACTGATTGAAATATCTGATTCATTATTTATTCATCACAGCACAATTTTGCAAATCCAAGAATAGTGTTTGAAAACCAAGTGTCTTCTATTTTGTACATCTACTTGGCAGATGGGTCTCCCTTTCAAAATGTAGCGAAAGGGTTAAAGATATAATTTTAGAAAAGTATCTCAGGAAATGACATTAAGATCTGATACATTTCCCTTTCTTTCTGGCAACAATATCCCCCAAAGAAAAAATATATACTTATTGATATGATGATAATGTTTCTCATTATGAGTACAAGTGTCAGAATGATTCCTGTTTGTGCAAGTGTTTTTAAAACTGCGAGGACACTTTGAAAGCTGACGAGCCAATGGAGGAGAACTTCTTTTAACTCCATAATAGCAGGTTACATAGTAAATGAACACGGATGGTCAAATAGCCAATTATGGTATAAATATCCGCTGTTTACATAGAGGTGTTAAATGAGCCTTTGGAGTACAAAGGATTAGGCCCATCTAAGCTACCACTTGTTCTTCAACCTATTATGTCTTTCCTTAAAAAGGCCAGTGCCACTGTAGGTAATATGCACACAGAACATACTTCTCTATGTTGATTTTAGTTTGCTTTATTTCAATGCACACTGTTGTTTACTTTTTAAAATTTAAATAAATGTCAGCATTGTATAATTTCTATGTTAACAAAGCAGTGAGCAAAATCCCTTGTATGTTTATAAAATATTATTGTTTAATTCACATAGTTTAGAAATTCCAAATGTTGAGAATAGGAAGGAGGCCAAATACCATCTGTTTATAACTATGATGCATCGTAATATGTGTACTTTTAAAAGGAGTTTGGTCAATCATGCCACTATTTTATCTGCTCGGAATATGTTGAAGATTTAAAATGTAATTTACAGGATTACTTTTAGTGCGTTGCATCCAACTGTGAGTTGTAAAGGAATCCGTCTCTTCTGTTTTTCTCAAATTAATCATGTAACAGCCCCAATTAATGGGGGGTGTTAAACGGGTCGCTTTCTGCTTAGCTCCAGAATTCTTCTTCTAACTTTGGCTCAGTCCACCTTCTTGATGCTGATAAAAATTGCAAGGACAAATGAAACAAAACACTCCTAGCTGTGTCTTTCTGCCAGGAGATAGTCACTTAGAATGGGAGGCAGGGTAATGGTAGCTAATAATTAGCTAACATCAACCCTGAGAAATTACCTGTGAAATACCCTTTGGTTCTGGGTAGAAAAACAACATGTGACACTCCCCGTTTTAAAATAGTACATTCTTGTCCCGGAGACTTCTGATTTAACTTACCTTTTCTTTCAAATGCATCTAATTGCATACCATGTAATAAAGGGAGTACATTTACTTGCCATAGACAAGCAGGTTTGGATGTTGTTTTTTAAAGTTACAAACTCAAGATCTTTAGTGAGGCATTTTTCCCTTCCTTTACCAACTAGAGAAACTCCACAACTGAGGCCTTCAATTCAGGGCGGGCGTAGTCTTGAAGGCCAGGGGTAGCTTTGTCATGGGCTCTCTTCTTCCAGAAGGAGGAACTAAAAACTCAGATGTCCTGATAAAGATGGAAACTGTGATAAAAAACAGTTATTAGCCAATGATGGTTGCTAGATTGATTTTTCTGGCAAGGTAGAATCAGTAAAAAGCTGCCCCTCGAGATGCTTTTATAGACAAACACATGCAGAAACTGAAAACACACTCCCAAAGAGCTGGGCATGTTCTGGATGTTTTCCTTCTCAGCTGAGTGTTCAACGGGTGCTCTATAAAGTGTTCATTTAACGATAACTGTTTTCTCAAACATTTTAGTTTTAGCAACTTCCTCTAAAATTCTATCAACCAAGAATATCTACTCATATATCATTAAGAACATTAAGAATACCTTATCTGAGTGAACGAACTGATCTGTAGATACATTTTTTTTTCAGTCTCATTGTTACATTTTAAAAGTCTGTTTATTATCTTTCTGGCCAGATTTTTCTCCCCCAAATAATGAATCCACTGGGTCCTTATGTTATAGAGATATACCCAGGCTTGTTTTCCTTTGAGTTAAGAAAATATCAGACTCCTTTTTCTTAAGTAATTGCTTAAGTGTACAGAGTAGAAGAGACAGTACAAAAAAAAAAAAAAGAGAGAGAGAGAGAGAGACATGTGAGAAATAGAGAAGGAGAATTGGAGAAAGCGTAGGGAAAGGAGGTAAGAGAACAGACGCTAGAAGTGCGATGGAAGAGGCTCACCAGACAAAACTTAACATTGCTTGAGTGCCATTAGCCATAATCATTAAAAAGCATCATCATCATTTCCAAGTAGAACCTAGACTGTTGCATTCAGATATTAACCAGCTCAGGGAAACTCTTAAGTGAAATCTGATTGAGACTTGCAGATCAGTTTTTCCATTCCACCTTCTTAAGTGAAGCTTCTACTTGATATCCGCATTTGCACTGCAGGAGACAGAGAAAGAGCCATAGAAGCATTCTTCGCTTTTAAGGCATTTACAGTCTAGAAGTAAGCCATGGATCCATAAAATAAATGGGAGTATGAATAAGCTTCATTATATGCTACATACTGGACATGTGAAAACAAAGACTGTTTTAGATGGAGGAATTATTCAGGCATGCTTTCCTTCTGAATACCTTGGCTAGCCGCGAATTTCTAAACAAGTTAAACAAGTCCTTAAGTGCATGAACCCTTTGGAACTCAAGGAGTCTAATGAATTGTGGTAGGTAATATAATCAAAATTGAAATTGGCATGTAGGTGCTCATTTCATGTTCCCTTTGGAGCTGACTTAGAACCATGGCAATGATCATGCGAATGCATAAGTCATTGTATAGTCATGTTATCTTGACAACCAAAATCACTTTATAAAATATACTTTAATAAGTTACCATAGAGCCCTGAATTTAAGCCATATGACTAAATCAATACTGAGTGGGCATTTCTAGGTATCGTATTTAAATTGAGTAAGAGATAAAAAATTAAAGAATTAAGAATAAGAAAAATGTATGGGAAACTATTTGCTTCTTCCAATTAATATAAAACATGCCAGAAGCTTTTTCTCATTTTGCTCTTTATGAAGAATTACTGACCCAGAGAAGAGTCAGATGAGGACTACCACTAAACAAACAATAAAAGCAGCAACAACAACAACAAACCTTACTCGTTTAAGAGAAAAACACGAAAAAGTAATAAATTCACCCATTTTAAAAATTAAGAAAAGACATAAAATTTAATACACATAATAAATAATAAATATTCTTCAGTTTCATATGATGGCTAATTAAGGAAAAAGCCCATGTGAAAAATTTGGAAGAGACGAATAAAACAAGGTAATTAACTCTTTGCTCCTTCACCCTTAAAGCCCAGTGAGCAGGGTAAGATTTCTTTTAAGTTGGGACCTGCAGCCACCTCAGAGATCAAATCTGCCTTTACAAAATAAAATGAAAGGAATCTTCGTAGCTCTGCAGCTCAAACTCCAACCTTGGTTTTGGCCCCACTCTGCTGTTGGTCCCCTAGTGTGGTGGCGCCTGAGTGCCTTGCTCTTTGATTGAACTCCTCCTCTTAACACAGATAGTTAACAGCTGGGTTCTTCCTTGTTCTCTTGGACCTCCCTTGATGGAATCACCTCTCTGGTATTCCTTCCACCACATTTTAGTCCTTGAGAGTTGAAGACGCATTTTTTTCATCCATTTTCTAATGAAGCCTTTGTGATGTTGGGAAACCATAGCTTTAGTACCAAACTTCAGAAGAAGCAACTCAAAATCATACCACTAGTACGTCGCAGAGTTGGGAGTAGGAGACATACCACCTGGTACGCAGGTTCTTCCTATCCTTTAGACTGGATTTCATACTCAGTTCTTCATTTGAATTGTGATTTTGACAATAAATTACAACTGCAGTCTTTGTTTTGGGTAGAAAGAAAAAGGGAAAGGAGGAGAGGCAGAAGCAGAAGAAAGATGGGAAAGAAGAAGAAGAAAGGAAGGGGGAAAAAAAATCCCCACAGGGTTTTCTGTGAAGTGGGGAAGGATACATCCTTAAATTGCTCCCCTTCTGCTTACAAAGATGACTGAGGAAAGCACTTCC